TCCGAATACGTTACTATGTAAGAGAAGAGGGGATATTTTCCGGGCGATTAATATCGTCTGCTGATTTCGTACGTGAGAATATCTTTTCAATATTACCACATCATCATTGAGTACGGTTGCAGATTATACATGCGTAAGTTCCCTTTTTCGGGTGAAAATAAGTTTTGAGGACTTCACATTGCAAAACGAACGCATTAGACTTCGGTTGGTATATCGAAAATTTGGAGCTTCAAGGCAGGTGACAGCAAGTAGCAATTGCATTTTCACTGTTTCAAAGTACGTCTCTGTCGACCTTGAGTTCCCTTAGCACATTATATAGAGTTTAAGTTGAACACAGACCGGCAACAACACAGACCGGTGACCGGAGACCGGGACATCTACTGTCGCGGCAAGAAACGCCTGGAGTTCTTTGTCACATCTGGTGCAGTTCCCAGGGAAGAAGAAATCATCGGGGAAGATGGAAGAATGTTCCGGACGCCATTGGTCAAACATGCGACGGCGGTGCGGAGAAATCACACTAGCTCCGAAGTCTCAGCTACTTCGACGGAACCCGGCCTTGTATTCGAGTTTGACGAGATCTAAATTCTAGCGGGAGGTGAACGTCTCGTGAGTCGCGGGCTGCTTAACTCATGCTTCACTGGCCCCCGGTCTAATGACAAGCGCAATGACCTGCTCCGTCCATAATCAGTGCTGTAATAAAATGTGGGGACAATTGTTAGCCACGTAGTTATTGCCTAAATGAACGCCGGTTCCCACGCCAGTTTCGGTGGGCCGATTGACCGAGTACTTATCCCACTAAAATCGAACACGGATGATGAGATCGCTTCGATTAACGACTCGAATGCCAACCATCAAGCAGTTGTCGCGGTGAGGTCGCAATATGCTACCCAATTTTACATATTACATTTTACCGCCTATTCTTTTTTACAAAAGTACTGTTTAATTTTGTTAATCTTCAACTCCTACCCACTATACGCTGTCGTTTACGTAAACCAACCACAGGTTTCCTTACTTGTACTTCTTTAATCAGTTTCTTCCTGATCGTACCCGATGCCCATCACCGACTTCGATATATAGATGGGTTCGGTCCGCTTTTCGATTAATCGGTTGCATTGTTGTACACATACCTAACCACAGTTTGCATGCACTGCATTAGTCTGTTATTCGGTTTCCGTCGCTTCAGTTTACTTCAGGTGATCACCATTTCATCGGTTTGGGGATTCTTTCATTGGGGTTTCTACTAGCCTGCTCGCACTTAACTGCCCGCTATCACGCGTACTTTTCATTACTTCAGTTACTTCACGTGCACTCCACTACCTTGTTACTCAATTTTGAAGCTTACGGCAACGTTTGACCAAATAAGTCAACTGTTAGTCATGCAACACCACACGGAAATCTTTCATAATAGGAGATTCCCAGGGGTCTTCTTAGCTTGTTGGTTTCGGTCCGTTTTTCGATTACTCGGTTAAGTTATTCTTCACATACGCCACCATCGACTTCCTCCTCTTGTATTG